ATATTGGTTTTCGGTTATCTCGATCATCAGTTATCTCGACGCTTTTTGGCAACCCCCTAGGCCGGCGACATAACCGGGTTCGACTGTATATGAATAATCAGCCTGTTCTAGTTTAAATGGAAATATGTTATTGTTAATAAGCTGAGTCTGAGAGTTTTATTTATTTGATAGTTTATTTCACATTTCTTGTTTGTAAAGGCTAAATACAAATAAAAAGTGAACCTTTTTTTTTTGTCCTGTTTTTATTTAAAAAAAAAAAAAAAAATTATATAATTTTAATAGGAGGAGCCTGGAGGTATTATAGACTTTGCAAATTCAGTTTGCAGACATCCATTGTGTGTGTCCTCGGCAGTTTTTTCCTGAGACTTTTTAATATTGTCCATATCGATATCGGAATTATATCGTATCGACCAAAATTAAGAAATATATCGTGATATAAATTTTTGCCATATCGTCCAGTCCTACTCTGAGGCTAGGGATCTGTGCCAGCAACTGGAAGGTTGTGCTTCAAATCCTGTGAATGCACAGAGTGATTCTACTCTGTTGGGCCCTTGAGCAAGGCCCTTAACCTGCAATTGTTTGATCCTGGGTATGATGTTAATCTACACCCAGGCTTATAAAGAGGTCCTCCAACTTACAGGGAATAACTTGGGGGTTGGTGGCAGAATTGGCACTCCAGCCACTGGAAAAAACCTCACACTGGTCCACCATATGGCTGCACTCAGGTTCTCATCCCTGAGGTGGTTTGTCGTGTGGTGGGTGCGGCAACGTGCTGTAATCAGTGCAACCTCCTTACTTCTCTCACCCCATGATATATCGAAGCCACGATGGGGAACGTCACAATGCAGAAGGATCGACTGCACTTTATTTGAACTGTGTACTGTATGAGAAAGGAACGAGTATTAACTTATAACTAACAACTTGAATAATTTAAGTGATCTAACGGCATGGGGGTAGAAACTCCTACTGAACCTCTCAGTTCTCATTGAGAGACTACAGTGGCATTTACCGGCTCTCAGCCTAATGGAGTGCTGGTTTTAGGTAGGTTGTGTCCCCTTTGCATTACTGGTCCTGCAAGGTCTGAAGTAAAAGTCTTGCAATGAGGGCAGATAAACCGTATTGATGTGTTCAGCAGAGCTTTGCAGTCCAGGACAGCAATTCTTATAACAATCCTCATAGCTCTCACAATCTTCATCAGAGGATGAATTAATTTCATCACTGCTGCTGGGAAATAATTGAACTTAGGTGAAAAATGAAAGCATGCCATTGAGAAAATAGTAAATACAAACCGCCTGATTAGGTGTGTCATTTTATGTCATTCTTGGTCGGAGTTTTCACACGTGGCTTATCTACCTTTAATGAACTTGTCGTTGGCATATGCAACTTTTGTTCGGAGGCAAGTCTGCAGATAGGAATGATATAATCTCTGCACCCTACTCTAAGGGGCTGAACCTTTCCCTCAGCAGCTCAGCCCATAACCCAGCTATCATCTTAGATATAAGCCTCTCATTCAAAACTCATGTGGATGCTGTATCAAAGGTGTGCTTCCTACAGTTGCGTAACATTGCCAAATTATGGTTCACTATTCAAGACACTGAGAAATTGATACATGCCATTGCATACAGTAGGTTACTGTAATGCTCTGTTATTCAAATTCTCACCAGGAGCAGGAAGATTGAAAACATAACCCCTGCTCGTAGTTCTCTGCACTGGCTCTGGACTGACTTCAGAGTTCTCCTACTTACATATAAGGAACTTAGGTAGGCAGGTGTTGGACCTTTTAACAGAATTACTTCAAGTTTACACATCATCCAATCAAATCACAGAATGCATGTTTTCTTGTCATTCCACATATAATAAAGTGACAGGTGGCAGTAAAGAATTATGTTACAGGGTCCCTATATTGTGGAATGGTTTGCCAGCCTATGTTTGGGATGCCAGATCAGTATCAAGTCTTTTACCCTTATAAGGTATTCAGCGTTTTCAGTTTTTAGCTTAAGAAAAATTACGGAAATAAAATTTTTTCAAACTGAGATTCATTGGCATTGGCTCATTTTCTGTGAGGAACATAAATCAGAAAACATTCACATTGACCTCCCCCCGTGTCTGCCCCCCCTTCACATTTGTATTACATACAAGGTCTTCTGGACCCGGGGCTAGTGAAAGTGTGGAAATCATAGGTCCTGTCTACCCTCATTTTCCCTTCCTCCTCTCTGGGCCTGTGTGTGTGTGAGAGAGAGAGAGAGAGAGAGTGAGAGAGAGAGAGAAGGAGAAAGTAAAGCTGGTGAATGGACCCAGGTGTGAGCCTGGATTGTTGCAAAATTGGAGCATCCAACACTGTCTGCACCCACATTCCCACACATTTCACCCTCTGTCTTGCGGGAATGAATATTGGGGACCTGACACTATAAATATCTCTGTCATTGTCATACCACAACTGATCAAGATGGCAAAGCAATTCTCGGTTCAGACTGCCTTACAGTTGATATTGGAAGAGAGAGAGGGTTTTGATGGTGATGGAGAGGAAAAAGTTTCAGAAAGTGAGGATCACATTTCTGAAAATTCAGGGTCTGACACTGAGTTTGAAGAGGATGATGAGCATCAGCCAGCTCTTAAGTGTAAAAGAGCCTCAGGACCAGCCCGTCAGCCAGCTTCAAAACGCAAGCGAACCTCAACCTCGGGACCAGCCCCAAGACCAGCAGGTGAGCAGCAAGCCACAGCACCAGTCAGTGAGCAGCCAGCTATAGGGTCAGACTGTCAGCAGCTTGCAAATAACGTATGGATGTCAAAAGATGGCAAAATTGAATGGTCTTCGTGCTCAAGAAATGAACCCACCTGCATGGCTGCCAATGTGATTCGGATGATACCAGGACCTACACGCTTGGCAGTCACTCATGCACAAGACATCAAGTCTTCTTTTGACCTCTTCATGCCATACCCTATCAAGAAAATCATCCTGGATTGCACCAATTTAGAAGGAAGCAGAGTTTTTGGAGAGACGTGGAAGGTTTGGACGAAACCGATTTGGATGCTTACTTTGGGGTTCTTCTCCTTGCTGGTGTTTTCAGGTCCAAAGGGGAGGCCACAGAATCCCTGTGGGATGAAGAAACTGGCAGAGATCTTTTCCGGTCAACGATGTCTCTGAAAACTTTCAAAATAATTTCCAGGACCATCCGTTTTGATGACCGTGATGATAGACCAGCTCGACGGCAGAGAGACAAGCTAGCTGCCATCAGAACGGTGTGGGACAAGTGGGTGGCCGGTCTCCCCCTGTTTTACAACCCTGGCCCCAATGTCACCGTTGATGAGCAGCTGATGCCATTTCGCGGCCGCTGCCCATTTCGGCAGTATATACCATCTAAGCCTGCTAAGTATGGTATAAAGATCTGGGCTGCCTGTGATGCTGCTTCCTCTTATGCATGGAACTTGCAGGTCTACAAAGGGAAGCACAATGGAGGATCCCCTGAGAAAAATCAAGGCATGAGAGTGGTCCTCGATATGGCTCAGGGACTTTCTGGACACAACATCACATGCGACAATTTTTTCACATCGCACAAGCTGGGACAGCAGCTGCTAAAGCGGAAGCTGACTGTGGTGGGAACAGTACGCAAAAACAAGTCTGAGCTCCCTCCCCAGTCGCTGAAAACAGAGGACAGGCCTGTCCAGTCATCAAAGCTTGCGTACACGGCTGACACGACCCTGGTATCGTATGTACCAAAGAAAGGGAAAAATGTGCTGCTCATGAGTACACTGCACAGGGATGGAAGAATCTGTGGCCAGGAGCCCGAAATGATCATGGACTATAATGCCACAAAAGGAGGCAACCTTCGATAAGCTGGTGACTACTAACAGCTGCAAAAGGAAGATCCTACGATGGCCTGTGGTGATATTTTTTGACATGCTGGATATCTCCGCGTACAACGCCTTTGTCATTTGGATGTCACTGAGCCCAGAGTGGAATAGGGGAAAGCTGCAGAAGTGGCGCCTCTTTCTTGAGGAATTGGGGAAAACACTGGTGAGACCTCAAATTGGAAGAAGGCAACATCTTCCAAGAACCCCTGCAGCCATTGTGAGGAGGATTCAGGAGGAAGATGATGGTGCCACATCCTGCCAAATTACAGAACCATCATCTGCAGACCCTGGAAGTAAGTGTTTGATGCTGGTGCAGTATAATAATTTATGTTTCTGAGAAAGAGGAGTAAAGTGTTAGTAAAGATCCTTATCTTTTCATATAGATTGTGGCCGGCAACAAAAAGAAGCGCTGTGAAGTGTGTGGACCCAAGATGGAAAGAAAAACACAATATACATGCACCCAGTTCAAGAAGTACATTTGCAATACACACACTTAAACTCTGCCCCTCATGTGTGGTATAGTCTGGCATGAAAATAGCCATATTCAATGGGACTAATGTGTTGTTCAGACAGATGTTGTGTAAACTAACCAGAGTAGGTTAAATTTCTAATGAAATTCAAATAAATAATACACTATAGTTTTGGAAAATCTTGCTTAATTTGTACATTTGTTCATTATTTTCCAATTATGCCTGTTTTTTGATTCATTTCCTTATTTTGTTATATTTTAATAAAAAAAAAACAAAAGAGTTGCATTTCTATTCATAAATGTGATTTAACAAAAGTAAAGAGAACAAAAGTAACATGTTATGTTTATATTACTTCCAAATGGGATGAAGTAAATATCTGCTGAGAATTTTAACAGAAAAGTATGTTCACTTGACTGAAGACCTATTACTTCAGTTGAGCTTACCCGCTACTTACATAACACTGTAACTATGGCTGTTGGTTCTGCTGTATATGCCATTTCGCTTTTTTATTAATGTGTCTATGCATGTTCTGACCACCCATACTCTCTGCCTTCCTTCCCACATGTCTAAATGGTGCCCAGGTGTGCACAGTTTGAGTAGGAGTCGTGGATCTATCCCATGGAAGGCTGACATTACAGATGTGACTTGCGAACTGTAACATCGTGGACGCAGACTTCAATCTCCAACCCTACACAGACCAGCATGGAGAAATGATTCATTGAAGGACTTTGGCTTTGTTCACAGTTCACACCTTGCTTCTAGCAAGCAAGCCCACTCTTTCTTTTTTTAGTAATGCTTGCGTGCCCAGCCAGTTCACCTTGGACCCCTGAGTTTTTTTTTTCTCCCTACTTGGGAGTTTTTGGTTTCTGTTCACTGTTGTGACCTGACTTTCTTTTCATTTGTCTTCCCTTTTCCCTGTTATTGTATTATTCCATCTTGATGATGTAATATATCACAACACACTGATGTAAAGCGACTTGGGCTGACTTTGTTGTGAAAGGTGCTATATAAAAATGAATTGAACATGATTATATTCCTGTTTGATTTATTATAAAATATTTTAGTTATTTCTATTATATATAATGTATTGTTGCTTCAGCCAAATTATAACTATCTCCCGTATTATATTTTTTTCTGATTTGTGTTTTACAATCCATATTACACAAATATTACAATTATTCCTTGATTTCTTCGCTTAGGAATATTTCAAAGGTTTAGGGTCATGGTCAGCATGATCTTAACATTAAAACATAATTACAAGAAATATTGTCTGCGCAGATTATATTTTTGTCAGAACAAAAATTGTATGATTATTATTAACATAATACTCCTGCCTTTTTTCTGTTCGAGAATGACTTTTCCCTCAGTAAGTTTAAATGCAAACTAAGAAATTTTTATTATTGTAGTCCGACTAAAACCGGAGTTTTAAAGTGCATGTAAACAAGAAAGTACAACTTAGTCGTACTAAACAGAATTTCTCGAAGTCCGAATAAGACACCCAGATAATGCGATTGCGAGTCGATTTGCTCCTGCATGTACATTTTCAGTCGGACTCAATCTGGCCTAGGTGCTCTACGCATGCTTCACAGTCTCTCTATACCCCCTCCGGACTTTGATCCGGAACTAACAGAAGAAGCCTTGGGGCTGTTCCACGAAGCGAGCTAACCTCAAAATCCAGGCTTATTTCGACAATCCCGGCTTAATTTTTCCAAATTCGGTTCCACGAACGAGGCTAACCTGAAGCTCCGCTTACTTACTATGTCAACATATGCTCTTGGACAAGCCTGCTCCGTGACAGGTTAGCTGTGAAGCTTAGCTTAGCTTGATGAATATGATTGGACAAGCCATGTGATGTCACAGCACGACATTCTGCGGGGCTGTGATTATTCTGCTGCTGTTCTCTACTTCTTTCGCACACATTGACCCTCCAATATAAAATTATTACAGATTACATGCAAGCGATTCCAATTACTCAGAAAGTATAAAATGACAAGGAGTGCATTGAAGGCTTTTACATGAATAACCATGGCGTGCCCATTTATTCATAATCCAGTTGATGAGGGAGCGAGGCTCATTCGTAGAGCTTTAAGGCAACAGGTTCCACAATTACTTCGGCCCAGGATGGATCCGTTGCATTTTCCGGATGATTATTTATACGAGCGCTATAGATTTAGTAGACACAGTATTGCATATTTGTCAGTTATTGGAACCTTACATTTCTAAGAACACACGTCGCTCTAAAGCCCTTACGGTTGCACAGTCTTTGTGTATCACTTTGCGTTATTTTGCCAGTGGTTCATTTCTGTACAGTGTGGGGGATGCTGAACATTTAAGCAAAGCTACAGTGTGCCGTGAAATCAGGAAGGTTTACGTTGCATTAAAGTCCTTTTTAAATATATTCATTACCTTTCCTGGCCACCGAGGAATTCTTGCCATTAAGGAAACTTTCTTTGGAATTAATGGTGCTTAATCTTTAAACATCTACTCATTTACAACACATAAATCATTACCTGATAAGTAACTGAATTTAATTTGTCAGGCTTTCCTAACGTCATTGGAGCCATTGACTGTACACACGTGAGGATAAAGGCTCCAGCAGGTCCAACAGAGCCTGATTACATAAACTGCAAATCATATCACAGTATTAATGTACAGGTAAGTACTGATAATACCTCACATTTATATATGAGAGGTGAAAGTGTAGTTGTCCAACATTAGCAATGTATGTCATTACCATTTCCTAAAATGTTTCAGATGGTATGCACTGGTGAACATCTAATTTCAAACATTGTGGTAAAATGGTCAGGATCAGTACATGATGCCAGAATTTTTCACGAGTCTTCACTGGCTCAAAGCCTCAGACAAAGCAAGTCAACTAAAATTCACAAATATGCTATAGTTTATTATACTACAGTCTAATGTGTCTACTTTCTATTATAGGAATTTTTCCTGGTGTGCTGCTTGGTGACAGAGGATACCCATGTCTACCGTTTCTTCTCACACCATATACAGATCCTGCAACACAAGCAGAGAGACATTTCAACCATGCCCATTGTAAGACAAGGGCACACATTGAAATGACATTTGGACAGTTAAAATCCAGGTTTAACTGCCTGCGGCATCTCAGAGTTACACCAGACAGAGCGTGTGACATTGTAGTAGCCTGTGCAGTTTTGCATAATGTGGCAATACTGCAGCAGGAGCGTATGCCAATATTGATGCAGGATGAGCAATGGGAAGAGGGCCTAGCAGTGGAAGACCACATGGACGGTAGAGCTGTGAGAGATGTGTACGCAAACACATATTTTGGTTGATTCTGTTGCAAATTTCATTTATTTTTTTTCCCCAACAAAGAACAATTAGAG